CTTTTTTTCCTCGCGTGCTCAAATAGGCGCCCGGTGTCGCTGCCAGTACTAGTACACGTGCCAATTTAGACATAGGGTATATTAACATGCGTGGTGGCAGGAACAGGTTGAAGTGGGAAGAGATAGAACAGATTCTAAGAGAAGAGAGGCCGATGGTATACCGTTTTGTAGAAACACATCTTAGAGACATGTAACAACCTCCTAACAATCCGGGCTATGCGTGGGAATATTCTAATAGAACAGAAGGCTGCAGAAATGGGGGTGGTATTGGGGCATCTATTTATAAAAATACAGACTGGCAAATGGTCAAACAGGAGTGCAAGGAACATTTATGGCTCAAAGGGAAAGTGGCAGGGCAAATGACACTCCTCGATTTGGTGTACTTGTTTACTGGGAGGAAAGGCCAGAGAGGAAAACCAGGCAATGGTAGAGTATATAATCAATGACATTGAGAAATTAGGAGGAGAGTGCGAGATATTTGTACTAGGAGATATGAATGCACACATAGAAGATATAGATGGGTATACCGACCCAACAGGCAAAATAATCATGGATATATGTGAAAGGCATGATTTGACCATTTGCAACAGTACTGAGAAGTGTGAAGGGCGAATAACATGGGAGGTAGGAAGGCTGCAGTCGACAATAAATTACGCACTGATGTCACATAGGATGTATGATAGACTCAGGGGAATGCACCTAGATGAATGTGGCTCCAGAAGTCTGGGTAGTGATCGCAAACGTATCAAGCTAAGTTTTGGAAGAGCAATGAAAGTGGGAAGGAGACAAGATGAGCTACTACAGGAAATTTTTTATTCAGAAAGGCAAATAGAAATTGCTACTGAACAAATTGAGAAGGTAATTTCTGAGGTTAATAAGACAGTGTGGACATAGACGAATACAATTAGACTGAGCTAGAGCTTGCTAAGGCACGTGACAAGTCACCCCGGAAAAGGAGACACAGACACAAGAGTTGGTGGGATCAGGTGGTTGAAGAGAGCCATATCAAAACGTCGGGAAGCCTCTTACATGAATCCAATTAGACTGTTTGAGCTAGAGCTTGCTAAGGCACGTGACAAGTCACCCCGGAAAAGGAGACACAGACGCAAGAGTTGGTGGGATTAGGAAATTGAAGAGAGCCAAAGCAAAACGTCAGGAAGCCTCTTACACGAATCTAATTAGAGTGTTTGAGCTAGAGCTTGCTAAAGCACGTGACAGGTCACCCCGTAAAAGGAGACACAGACACAAGAGTTGGTGGGATCAGGAGGTTGAAGAGAGCCATATCAAAACGTCGGGAAGCCTCTTACATGAATCCAATTAGACCGTTTGAGCTAGAGTTTGCTAAGGCACGTGACAAGTCACCCCAGAAAAGGAGACACAGACCCTAGAGTTGGTGGGATGAGGAAGTTGAAGAGAGTCATATCAAAACGTCAGGAAACCTCTAGGAAACACAGACAAGCTAAGCACCGGGGTGAACCAACATATGATGTTGAAAGAAAATGAGAATTGTTTCTAAGCTGTAGAAGGAAAGCATCCCTTCTGATCAATGAAAAGATTAGAAGAAAGGGGGCTCAGTGGCTGGCAGAAGTACATAAAAAGGATAGAAAGGCAGCTGCGAAATTCTTGAACCATCTAAACTCCCTAAGAAATGAGACGTGCCTAGAGTAGAGGTTTATAAATACAGCTCGAGGTGCTACAGGCTAAAAGATGACGAAGCTATTGAATATATAAGAAGAAGGGTGACAGAAAATTTTCAACAAAGAAGTGCCTTATGCACCACAATAGACAAGGATGGATGAAGTGGCGCAATGTCTCCATTTTCCTAACTAGAGTGGGAAAGGACTGAGAAGAGGGTCTCTAGTAGTACATCAACTGGCCCAGATGGCATTCCAATTATGCTGGTCAAGACATTGAGTATGAAGTCTAAGCACACTTTAAGAGAGGCAGTAAGCAAAATAATAATCGATGGTGAAGTCCCAGATGGATGGAAACTTAAATATATGTGCATGATATATAAAGGAAAGGGGGACAAAGCTGACATAAACAACGACCGTCCTATAACAGTGACATCAGTGGTCTACAGGTTGGCGATGCAGGTTATAAAGGAAAGACTGCAGGCATGGATGGAGGTTGAGGGGGTGCTGGGGGAACTACCAAATGGGTTTCGGAAACAAAGGAGGTTGGAAGATAATCTGTTCTCACTGACGCAGTGCATCGAAATAGCAGAAAAGGAACACAGGCCCCTGTGGCTAGCATTTTTGGATATCAAGGGAGCATACGATAGCGTGGTTCAAGAGGACTTGTGGGGAATACTGGACACACTAGGTGTGGGAGATGGAGTCACTAATATTTTAAAGGATATCTATAAAGGTAACAAGGCAGTTATAAAGTGAAAAAAAAAAGAGGTATGCAAGCCCGCAGAGGTAAAACGGGGGCTTAAGCAGGGGTGTCTTCTGTCACCCTGGTTATTCATGATGTACCTACATGGATTAGAAGCCAAACTAGAGGGAAGTGGACTTGGCTTCAACCTCTCTTTCGTCAAATTAGGAAAACTCATTGAACAGGCACTACCAGCATTGATGTACGCAGATGATATAGTGCTAATGACCGACAAAAAGGATGATTTGCAGAGATTGAAGGACATCTGCGGTAATGAGGGAGATAGGTTAGATTTCAGATTCAATAAGGAAAAATCAGCAGTCATGATCTTTAATGAAAATGAAGGTAGTGAGCTTAGAGTACAGGAGGTCACGCTACAGATAACGGATAAATACAAATATCTGGGCGTATGAATGAGCAATGGGACCGAGTACCTAAGGGAACACGAAATATATGTGACGACTAAAGGTAACAGGAATGCAGCAGTGATGAAAAACAGGGCACTGTGGAATTACAATAGGTATGACGTTGTGAGAGGAATATGGAAAGGGGTCATGGTTCCTGGTCTGAAGTTCGGCAATGCGGTCTTGTGCATGAGATCAGAAGTTCGAGCAAGATTAGAAATTAAGCAACGTGGAATAGGTAGGCTTGCCTTAGGAGCTCACGGGAATGCACCAAATCAGGAGGTACAAGGTGATATGGGATGAACATCATTTGAAGGCAGAGAAGCTAGCAGCTAGATAAAATTTGAAAAGCGATTGAGAGAATTGGGGGAGGAGCGTTGGGCTAGGAAGGTATTCAGCTATTTGTACATAAGGAATGTCAATACAAAATGGAGGAAGCGAACTAGAAAATTGATGGGTAAATACTTCGAAAACAGCAGGGGGCCAAACCAAAAATAACTATCGGTTAAGAAGAAGGTGAAGGAAGCTGAGACCGATATGTGGGGAATTCGCATGATTAAAAAGTCCGTACTAGAGATCTATCGAACTTTTAAGCAGGAAATTGCCAAGGAAAGGATCTATGATAATACTCGGGGTAGTTCTCTGCTGTTTGAGGCCAGGACAGGAGTATTGCGAACCAAGGCATATCGGGCCAATTACGAAGGGGTAGTCACGGTATGCAGTGCGTGTGGAGAGGAGGGGGAAACTGCCGAACACTTGATAATGTTCTGTAAATGGCTTCACCCTATAGTTCAGTATGATGGCGCAGAGTTTTTCAAAGCACTGGTGTTTAGAGAGAGGGAGGGCATAATAGACTTTAAGCTTGTAGAATTAACTAGAAGGAGGTTATCTGATTGGTGGCTAAAGTCAAGGCACGAGTGAAAATTAAACCCTTCAATGCAAACTACAAGCCCTCAACCTCACTATTCAGAGGAAAAAAGATAAATCTACATTTCGGTTCACTAAGTATTACGGCTTGGTGGCGTTAGCAACTGCCCGATATGAAGGGTTCAGCCATATCAATCCATCCACTGTACTGCCAGCAGCGTGTTCGCTTGCCTGCATGCCTGCCTGCAAACGGCGGAGAAACACAACCACGGCGTCCACCGCCGCTCATGAGAACAACAAGAGTGTGTGTGCCTAAAACGACCACTAAGATATTTGTTGTATTAATCATCAAACTTGTTAAAACCACACGCAGTTTCAGTTTTCTGCTTTCACTGGCACCGACCAGTGTTCTGGGCATTCATCCAACCGATGGAAGGAGACATAACGTGGACAGAAAAATTCTGTTTTAAAAATTTGTGCGCACTTTGCAGAGAAACCGTTGCAAGGTTACACACTTCACTTGGTACGCTTTTTATTGCGACAAAAAGCAGGAGAGCAACGAAGGACGGTACGCACTCACTTTGACTTAGCACACGACTACGCACAGCGGTCTGTCCCTTGTTCTCTTGTGGCCACGTAGTCGTGCGCTGAGTTAAGGTATGTTCAAAGACATCACCAGTCAAGCCCTTGTCGCTGCCGTGTCTCAGTGGATTCCGGCTGGCTGCTATAGGGTGCGATAGGCAACGCCTCCCGTGATTGCCTGTTTTTAATGATGTTTTCTCTCTCTTTCCAAGCGAGAGTGTTCCTGGCATGTATAAAGAAAACAACCTGTGTGGTTTCTGGAAGCAACCGTAAGTTACTGGTCGTCCCCAAAACAAAATACGTAAGTGGCTTCGATCCAAGCCACGGTGGTTACGTTTATAGTCTGCACCAGTGTTTGTTCCCTTATCGTCCCTGATGTTTTCCGCACACTCTATTATTGGTTCTGTTGTGTCGTGCCTTGGCGGCACCGACGCAGACAAGTTGAAGGACGCGCGGGCGGGCAAGTCACCGCTTTGAACATCGCGCGGCCACCCTTGCGGCCCCTGTGTGCTGAAATATCTTTAGGCGACTTCTTTTTGTCCCTAGGTCCTAGCCGCTTGATGCATCGTTGCAAGATACGCGCGAAACACAGACTAACCACTTTAACAATACAGTAAATTAAAATATTACCTTATTGAGGCGTTCTTGCAATAACACACTAAGAGGTCGGTAGATCAACCAGATCTAGTGCATGTGCTTGAAAATATTACAGCGCTGGCGCCGACGTTCATTTTTCTCCCTAAGTAGGGAAAGATTGAACTTGAGCGTTTCTGGGTGGCTGCCAGTAGTTAAAACAAAACATGCATTCGAGCATACGTGCTCTTCGGCCTGGCTAAAAGTCGGAGCCGCGCTACCAGCGCCTTGTCTTGACAAGCAGGTGTGGTGTAAGTAGGTTTATTGTGGCGTGGTCACTACCCCTGTTTCATAATTACATGCGTTGCAACGGTATACATTGTTTGGACTTTGTCCCAGGTCTCACTCCCTTCGCCGCACCGCCCATAAAAAGACTGATACACTGCGAAAAACTAGAAATAACGCGTAACGGCCAGAAATTTTAGTAACCTGACGCTTCGAGATGACCTTGACTAATATGTGCTCTTCAGCAATACTGGCGACAGGTTGCAACAAACGATCGAGTGCTTCAGTGTGGCTAAGGTGGAATGATAGCTATTTGTAGGTGTACAGATGAATTCACGATTGGAGAATTGACGATTGGCTGCTGCAGCCTCGACTACCCACAGAACCCTACCTATTTGGAGGACCCCCCCCCCCCCCCCCCTCCTCTGATCATCTTTTTTTTTTCTTGGTATTGCGACACTGCGCATGGGCAGCCTCCTGTTGGCGGCCGAACGAATCAATTTGGCAGGGGCACCTTAGCTCGCCCTTCTCTCCAAACCAGCCGCAGAATGACCAGCCCTACATCAGAAAAAAGAGTGTATACAGAAATGGTAGGAAAGCGGCGGGTGCAGGACGACGAGAGTACAGGTGCTACTTGAACTGAAGTGGGACAATATGAGGCAGGTCACTTTTAGAAGAGCCTTACACAGACTATATAAAGAAAGTGCTGTTTGTTAAAAACGAGACTCGTTTTGTTACTTCCCTCTCTTGTCCATCTTTGTCATCTCCCTCCAAACAGCAACAGTAATTCGTCACTGTTTGAAGGGAGACTGCATTCTTCTCTCCTGGCAGTCTACCTGCAAGGAGAGAAGAATGTCTACCTGGCATTTACTTTCATTTCTGAATCGGTGATGAAACATATGTGCTGACTTCATGCGTATCTGTTAAATATGGGGTTATGGGCGGTAACAGCGCACAAACTCACGATACAAAGAGAAGGAACACAAGCAAGCTCCGACTCTCAACTGAAAATTTATTGAAATATACAAATTATCTGATCATAAGATGAACATACGCAGAAAAGTCAGCGAGGGACCACGTTGACGTCATTAACAATTTTAAATTGCGAGTAACTGTGCAGGCACGACAAAATTCAATTCAAACAAACATGCTACTGATTAGGATTACTTCTTTTTCATGTCAAGATATCGATGTTTGACTAATGCAAAACTCATCTTCTTTTTTGATATGAAAAGCTGACGTATGGCACCACCTCCTTCTCCCTGGTGTGGTTAAAATGTCATCCACCGCCAACGAACTGTCTAGCAGCTATTTCACAGGGGACTGTTTATGCCCTTATGCTCGCTTCTTTTCCTCTCATACTTTTAAAATTGAGATAATGGGGCCGTGACAAGTAAGAGAGTTTGGCACTGTGGTCTCATGGAGAATGAAGTCACAGGATGACAATAACTGCGGCATTTGCACGGCTGTTGTGCAAATATATATATACGGTATATATATATATATATATATATATATATATATATATATACACACACACAAACACACACACACAGACAAAGAAAGGAATATGGAAGAGCAAGTATATATAAATATGCGTGTTGATCCTCCGTGAGAACGATATGCCCCCCATGATGCAGCCTAGAGGCTCCTAACCCTCGTAGTCTCTTACTATGCTTAGTCTGCAAAGAGCACCCATCGTACCAATCTTATCATTTACATGGTCATTACTTATACCTCAACTCTTAAAGAAGACCTCAGATAATGGTAAAAAAAAAAGTTCAGGGGAACACCGAGGCTTGTTGGAATACAAAATCGTTCTGCTAGGAGTTTTGCTAAATCAGCGTTTTGACTAGAGGGCTTCTCTTATTCATGCCCATGCTACTGCCAAGACAAAGAAAAGTCCTCTTGTTTAAACAACAGTGGCTCCAAGGACATGCCCTGCGTTGCAATTTTTCATCATGCCTGCTGAAGAGGATTTTAACATAACTGAATTGACAAGCAGAATAGTGAACATATTCTGATGCTGCTATGTCTTTCGATAATCTAGATGATACAACATTGCTAATTATGCTTCTTTTATTTTTCTGTAGCTGCACATGCTTATCTTATTCACCGTTTTTCGTTTTTTCAGCCTGCGGCAGTTGCATGGCTGATGGCGCTCGAAACGGGCGCCATGATGCTGGCGTGGCGCCAGCACGGCCACATGCCTTCTTCGTCTGCCTATTCATCATTTTCCTGCTAGTGCTCATTTTCACGAAGCCATCAAAGGAGATTGGTAAGCATAGCACTTGATGTGCTCATTGTTGACATGTGCCTGTGGCCCATATTGCACTGTAATGATGAGCTAAATTCATAGTGTTACCTTTGGGTGGCAAAAGAGAACTGGCATGTGATGAAAGCTTCCATGAAAGAGCCATGCTCATATGGCACCACTGTTGGTGCATGGAGTGCATCGCTGCACAGTGAAGCAGCATAATAAATGCATATGTTACAGCACACACAATATTTGCATTCATGTCCTCGTCATCGGGATGTCACTGGTACATAGCACTATTGTACTACCTTCAAGGACCACTTAAAGCATGAAAATTCTCCTAAGTTGAAGCATGGCAGCTATGGGGTAATAAACATACTTTTATTTCCATAATCTTCACTCTATATCAAATCTGTGCAATTGGGACTCGAATATCAGAGCCAACGTTGACTTAGCAGCATGATTCAATCATCTCGAAACTGCGCATTCCAGCTGTTATACTAAAGGTTTTGATGTTACTTTTCAGTTTATGAGTATTGTATGTCACGTGCAAACTTGAGTGCACTTTTCTCTTCTTATTGCACATGGAATGTTTTAGAAATGCTTTATGTGTGTAAGAGCTTTGGTTTTATATACCTGACATGTTCCTTGAGAGTCTTCAAGGTGCACCTGCCACTCTTGCAAGTTTTATTCAACTTCTCTCTGATGAAGAATTGGGGTTTCCTAACGTGATAGTGTCTGAATGCGAGCAAGTTGGTATGTGTTCACAGTTCAAAACAGCACTAAATAAAACATGTACTAGTACACAAAGCACTACTGCCAACTGCTAACTGCTTTGGTTTATTGTAAAAACACACTAATTGTCAAGGTACACTCCTTTGTCAAGTTTTGTTATCGCCCCATTACACGTTAAACGGCTGCCTTGCACAAACCGTACCGATAGACTGCGAACCACTGAGATAATCTTAGAATCTTCCGATGTGCTTACGCGCACAATACGAACACTACAGATTGTTCTGGAATATACGTGGCCGAGAATGATAACGCTGATGTTTTGGCGGCACATGTATCAATACCAATGCTCATCACCGCTTGTCAGTTGACCGACGGCTGACGCTCCGTTCACCGCTATCAGTACCAGTGTGTATCGCTGTATTCTGACTTTCGTTCACCAGCCACAAGTTCAACCAAATAAACAGTTTCATCTGAACATTCAGTCTAATCCTTTAATCAACGTCACGAGCCCGTGACAATAACGTGTAAGGGCATACACAGGGTAGGGGAAATTATATCGAGACTTCTAGTGACACGTGCATCAAGTTACAGAACTTGTTTAGTCAGAAAAAATTAGGGGTAGAGATAGCTACACTTCTTGTTAGTTATAATTATTGAAGTTGCTAGTATACATTCTGTGCACAGTGTAAGATACAAACAACTTAGGTGGGGCACTCCCGAGACGCGATTGACCAGATAAAGTAACAGCGCGCGTTTGTCGGACCGCTGCCAGCAGTGCGTATATACACCTATCAGCGAGCTGATGCAACTCGAAGACAGAAAGAGGTGTTGCTATAGCAAGCGGTCCTTCCCAGGAAATTTGAATTGAAAGTGAAATTTAAAATGGAAGTTTGAAAGTAAATTTAAAATTCAAGAGCAAAAATTGATTACTGCTGTCTACAAGCATGATGGGGACTTGAGTCACGTGGAGAGCACGGTTTACATGCCCTTTATGGAATGCATGGGGATATTTAAAGTTGTTCTCACACATTTTGTGAACTTAATACTTCTTGAGGCATAACAGATACGCACATAACTGACATGCTTTCCAAAATTTTGTATGAAGCGGTTATTTATTTAAATGCGCTAGTTTTTTGTGCACTCGATGATGGTAGGTGGGGCACTCGTTGGCAAGCTGGATCTGGAAAGGGCGCGAATGGCGTGGGGGATGCACATGCTTTTGATAACCAGGAAAGCAGAACTTGAACAAAACTGCTTGATTGCTCATAAGAAGAAAAGAAGCCATTTAGATACCTTGACCACCTTGTTAGCGTACATTACATAGATACCATTTGGTGATGCACCAAATTCTATTTTCACGGCTCTAACAATAAGAATATGGTGTAATGATGACAAAAGCAGTGCTCAGGCACGGGCGTATACCCGGCTAGAGGAAAAAGAGAATGAGGTCAGATAAAGAACACCGGCCTAGCGAACGGGCGTTGTCTCTGAGTCTCATTCATTACAAGGGCGCAGCAAGACCACAGGCAACAGGCAACAAGACCATTCTCGAGCCTCAGCAATTGGCATTGCGGCCTTCAAACCCGACACTTCCTGGGCACGTGGAGTCGTTTATCCCTGTCCTGCCGAATAGGTCACGACATGACACACTCTACCGGTCTACGATACTAACAGTTCCCAGTGATACCAGTGAGGAGAGCAGACTCAGTGATCAGCTAGTGGGGGATTCGCCTACTACAGAGAAGTCATTGGCCGAGTGTGCGAGTGCTTCACTTAATCAGTCCATGCCTGCCAAAGACAGATTAATGGACGATATGCCTGTTTTATCCATATCTGCCCACCACGCCTTGGCTGATGGTAGCGATGCGCCACAAGCAGGTGAAGTCAAAATTAGAACTTCCAGCCTTCCGGCGTACAGCCCTATTCGGGATCACGGGCAATGCAATATGATTTCGAAACCATCTGAATGCCGTGCGGATCACCAGGAGGCAGTCTGCGTCAAGGAAGAATCAGACGTGGATCGACCAGACGGCGACCAGCTCGCACAGAGCAGCAAGGTGACGCCTTCGTATGCCCCTGGTGTCCGCAGCGTGATGTGCAGCTATGGTGGTGTTAACCTCTAAGGAGGCCGTGGCACACAACCACCATGGAACTTCCTAATTCGTTGTGGCCGCACAACAAAAAGAGGCAGAGATGGCAGCACAGAGGCTCTTGCGTCAAAGCACGATAACCGGGCATCGCAGGCTGTTCAGAACGCCGACGGCAATGAAGACCAGTGCCCCAAACTGTGCCAACTGAATTGCCTGCTAAGCGTGCTGCAATCGCGACGAGATAGCTATTGTCGCCCTCCAGAGTGTTCGACAGCCCCACAAAGTGAGTCATGGCGTCCACGAGAGGGACCCCACAGACACAGCCAATACCGCCCACCAGAAAAGGTATTGACAACTCAGGGCTCAGGACCTGCGGGCCGACTACGACCATTGCTATCAATGGCGTCCACCAGAACCATTGTCGCCCGACTTTCAAAGCAAGACGCAACGACTGGCACGACAAAGTCAATGGCGTTCACCAGAGCCATCATCGCCTTAGTCTCAACGCAAGACGCACCGTGGCCATGACCGTCCTCTGTGACGCAGCCAATGCCGTTCACCAGAGGCATTAGTTCTATCTATGTTGGTTCGGGGCCTAGGTCCTATGAATGTTTCCACCATCGAAGACAAGACCTGTGCCAGGGAAGGGCAAGATTGGCAGGACTGCATGTGCACATTGTGGCTGAGTGTAATGATGACAAAAGCAGTGCTCAGGCTCGGGCGCATACCCGGCTAGAGGAAAAAGAGAACGTGGTCAGATGAAGAACATCGGCCCGGCGAACAGGTGTTGTCTCTGAGTCTCATCCTTTACAATGGCGAAAAGTCCACGACTGTGTGATTACCTGCTGAGAGACATGTTTACCGGGGACCCTGATATCGCTGATTTCACCATTTCTTCTCACCTTGCACGGGAAGAGGATTACAGCATCTTTTTATTTATTTTTTTGCAATGAACAATTAGCAGACCCTTTTAAGAATGCCACTGGAAACATGCTCACATAAAGCAGTGAATGCACAGCGTAATACAGTGAAAAAAAAAAAAAGCTCACTACGCCTGTAACAGAAAAAAACACTATTTATTGCAACGTACCATTGTGTTGCATAATATAAAACAAATGTTTGTGCAGTGAAATTTATTCATTAACAATCACAATGAATCATCTCATCTGTGAAGACTGCAACCTTAGTGCTGAACGGACGGTCCTTCCTGTAAACAGCTTGAGTGCATGCTTTTAGACATTCCGGATCAGAAGGAACATTGGATAATATTACTTTTTCTTGGCACGTAGGATAACCTGGCCCGCAACCACTAACGAAGCACTTTCTTCCCATATTCACTCACTCTGTGGACTTCTTCTTTCAGCAGATTTCATTCATGGCTGCTCACCACATCACAAGTTCGTTTTGCAAAATAAAATAGGAATGATGAAATGCCACTTGTTACTCCATGAAACGTGCCAAAGGCATGATAGCCACTGAATCGGCCGAATGACTTGTTTTTTTTTAGCAAAAAACACGATGCTTTCGGAACACCAGCATTGCCACCAGCCTCACCGATTGTTATAGCAACGGCGTGTGAAACTTTTTTTTTTTTTTAAGTTGCACTGACTTGCCGATAGATGCGCTGCCAGCAGTGGTCCAATGGACGTGCGTCTCGTAAAAAAGCCAAGAAGTGTCCCCACCTAAAGTGTTTCTATCCTACATCATGATCCTATGTCAACATTTTATTGGAAACACTTCGAAAACTTTCAGCAGTATACTCTTTGTATCTAGCATAAAACCTGGGACTCATAAAAATTGGCAAGAAAGCAGGCACATTTAGCTGCAGTGGGTAATCGAATCGCTGCTGTCCTTCATTTTCAGGTTGCTTTTATTACTCATGCATGTGGTCATTGAGGCAACAGGCCATCTGCCCGATATGGAAAATGGCGTGCGAGGTCAAGATTTCATGCGGAACTTCACTCCTGCATAAGACATAGTTTGTGCCGGGCTTCTTGACCCTTGTTGGCTGGGTTGTTCTCGTTCACCTATTTGCATAGGGGGCTCAGTTTGTTGGGGTTGAAAAACAATGTGAGCCCCTGCCTGCCGTGCTGTGTTCTTATTACAGCGCACCCAATGCACATAAGAGGTCACCATCATCTTAGACTTTTGAAGGCTCAGCCAGATGCATTTTCTTGTATACTGAACTCTTGACCCATCAAGTGTGATTGCAGATATACAGGGTAGTTGCTCTCCTTCAGCTGCTGAACTTGTGACAGATAACTCCTTATGGCCAGGTGGTGGCAGGTGCGAACTACGGCATTTCTGGACACTGCGAGCTATAAGACACTTCGCAATATTCCGATGTTTTGTGAATATTGCAAAGGCTTCATTGATCCTGGTGAATACAACTAGCAGGTATGGTGTCGGCTGAAATAGATTTGCTTTTCAAGAAAGGGTAATTTCTTTTCAGCAATTTAGTTGCTCCTGGGCATACAGTTTCATACTGTAATACTTAGAAGGGATTCTATATAGGCAGGCTCCTTCAGCAGCACTTGTACCCTCATGGCAATAAGAGTACATGCAGAATACTTTTCAGATCATGGCAATGATGGGAAGTACTGGCTTCGGATCTTCACTGGGACACTGCATAAATGTGCAGTGATGAATCGACGGTGCTTTGCTAAAACTGTCATATATGACTTGTAAAGCAGCAATGTTGCAGTAAATGAAGAAACCTAGCGGTCGTCAGCCCCTTTGAGCGATGAAGACCCTGCTTGAATGCTCTGCACTGCACCCCACTACTCACGCTGCATGGAAACGATACTGGGACTGTAAAAGAAGCTTCATAGACAGTTCGCAAGTTAATCCTATGTGATCTGCAGCTTGTACTTCCCATCATTCCCATTGTAGTACATTGATCGCAGGGACAGTTTTCTGTCTACGTTATTGTGTAAACTTTATGCTCTTGAGTGAGGGTTATGCCTTAAAACCGAGACCAAAAGATGCTGAATCCTGGATTACGAGTTGAAAAGTTCAGGCTTCTGTTCAAGAACCCCATCGTAATGTGCCAGAAGAAGGTCGCTCAACACAGATGCGTTGCGCAAGTCAATGCATGTCTTTTTTCTGAATGTGCAAACTGCCATCGTATTTGATCATTGTGGAACAAAGGCACAGCACCAGCAAATCTGTGAGCTTCAGCACACTGGTACCTATGGCATTCTAAAAAAAACCCTTTGCGCCCAGCCTACCGCACGCTGTTGCTTATTAGCTCTGCTCGCCGACGGAGACAGTTCAAACATCCACCGCGTTGAGTTTGCCCGCCACGCAAGCTGAGCATAAGCAACAAAGCATGTAGGGAAGCACATTTCAGCTCCACTAACAAGAAATATGGGGAGGGTGAATAATGCAATTGGCTTCAAGTTATTGTGCACAAGGGAAATCTCCAACCAGTACTACGCCGCAGGACAAGATCCAGGGCCTATATATACAGGGTGACCCATGAATGGTTGTGCAGCGCATTGTCTCTCGCGAGTGAGGAAGTGTTTCTATAGTCAATCCACGCCATTCGCTCTCTCTTAGCATGCGGCAAGCGCTAAAGTAGTGGTGAGAGAGAGTGAACTTTCTCTTGGCGAGAGAAGGCAGTGTCTCGCTTGCACTCAAGTAAGTTGACCATCACGAAAGCAGCAGCAGCTGCAGACGACGGCTGATGCAAGCCGATACGCTGAGACCTAAAGGGCTTCGCCCCTCAAAGACACGACCTCATGTTCTTTTATACCATGCTTCATGACTCAGGTCTCTCACAGCAACGAATAAAACATCTTGCAGGTTCTCTTATGCATTCACCTAAGAAGACTCAAAGGGAAAAGCCTTCTTCTTCTTTCTCTACTCATTCTGTCGGCACATTTCAAGAGGTGGTTTGTGAGTGCTCTGACTGTATTTGAAGGTAAAGAAATCGTAGTGAAATCGAGTAGTGAAATCATGAAGCTTCCCAAATATTGCAGCATGGTCTATGCCTAGCATTGCTAAGTTTCTGTGGCTGAAACATGAATACATCTGAGACAATAAACGCCTGTGGCAATATGGACACATCTGTGTAGCATGGGTCAGGATTTGCAACAAGATTATATAGGATGAGTATAGTTGCCATAGGTTAACTGTATAGGAAATTTCTGTTCATATATAGCTGTTGTGGCTATACTGGTAAAATCTTTTTAATGATGACAATACTAGTTAGCCGCAGGGTAAGTGATCTTTTCTGTGGCTGGTATTTTGTTACTCGCCTGAGTAGTTGTACTTGTAAAATGAGCTGCGCTGGTGGGACTGCAGGAGTGCAGGTGGCTGCAGCTGCCATGACTGTGCTGCTGGTTATGGCAGGTCGTCAGTGCTGCTACCTGCTCTGTGAGCTGCAACGGCTGCAAGTGAAATGCGCTGGTGGTATCCTGAACACAGCAGTCGAATGCTTCCGATTGCCAAGGACATCATGGCTGGTGATCCTAACGTGCTTCAGCCTCTCTTTTCTGGTGAGTTCCATGGGCTGAAGCAATCAGTTTGATCCAATACAATCTGTACATTTGTACTATGACATAATTTATACATTAAAGCTGTATAGCAAGGGTGTGCTGCAAGTTTGCATTGGTCACCTTAGAAATACCTTGTCTTGTAGTTTTGCAAAAGGAGAGTGGGTCAAGAGCTTGTTTTATTGTTTGACACAGCCTATGAAGCAGACCAATAAATGAATCCAAGGAAGGCATAGAAGACAATATTTGTAGTTCTCAAATGTGTAGGAAATATGACACAAATAAAAAAATTGAAGTGGATGAAAAACATAACTCAAGGTGCTTTGTTTATATCTTTCTATGCCCAACGTCGATATCATGCCTTACACATTAAAGTGACTATATTCAAAGTGACTACAGATCACGTATCAACAAATTGGCATTAGACGAACCAACTCATGTAGCCATGCACAACTTAAAAGAAAGGCAAAAACAGAAAGAAAGATACTTGCAATAAGAAATTCGTAAACAGAGCCGAAGTTTCGGCAAGTGCGCTTGTCTTTTTCAAAACATTTCTGCAACAAAATATTACTGCTGAATGAAGTAATGCTTTGCTGTAGATGTGCATACATGACTCCAGTGGTCATGAATTGAGCCACTGCATCCAAGCTCTCATAAACCTTAGGCACAACACTCTACAGGGGCAACAAAGAACTCCACTTTCTCGAAGTACATTGGTGCTTCTTTAGCTGGAATTCGTGGTGCTGCCTTGAGAAGAGTTACTTTGCCCTCCTTGTTTTCTTCTTCTTCCTGATGTAGGATGCTTGCTACAGTCTCTTTTGTAAACATTCTTGCATATGTCCCAATGCAAAAGCTACAGGTGGCAGTTCTCAAAACGTAAAGTGCTGTTTGTAACAAGTCTTTCAGACAACTTCTAATCAAAATATGATATGGGAGGCATTAGATATAGTGTTCCAAATATGTGCGTAGATCTGAAATCTACTCAGCACTAAATAAGCTAAACTGAAATGCATTAGCATTGGGACCAATGCCACTTCGGCAGATTTAAAAAGAGTTCTTACAACTGAATAGTTTCTTTAATTCATATACAGTCAGTTGGTATTTTTCTTTATCTTCCTTTTGAATGTAAGATCTGGAAGCAGCACCGCTCTTATTATTTTCAAATATTGTCTTTTCATTTTCAGATAGCTATCATGTCTAAATATGCTTCGAAATGGGCTGTTAGGCTGGTTAGTTCAGGTTCATTTTCAAACAGCACAAAATACAAAAAAACACAAAGAAGACTTAACAACACGTGTACTGATTAACAACTGTTTCTAACTGTTGTCTCTAATGCTACAAAGGACATTGGTGGTGAGCTGCTTGATTGCTCAATGTGAAAATCATCAAATAACAAAAATGAAGCTTTCAAGGCAGGAGGCAAGGCATTTATGCAATTATTTAGATGATTAAAAAATTTATTGCACAAATTCAAAGAAAACGAGGAGGGTTTCTATTTCAGGACACCTATGGTAACCTCTCCGACAGCTCAGGCCCTAAGAATAAAAATGAGGGCGTGGCAGACCTCGGGGGCACCATCGCGAAGGGTGCCTTCCCACTGCTCTGGGGACGGGTGGACCGAAGGATTCGAAGGAGGGGAGAGAACTAGGGGGCGGAGCACTCTACGGTAACGTGAAGAGCTGTGGGGATAGCGCCACAGCCTGGACAGGCATCAGTATAACGAGTCGGGTATATTTTATACATAAAGTGGAAATTCGGGAAAGTTCGGGTCTGCAGTTGGCGAAGTGCGACAGCCTCCTCGCATGTGAAGGAGTATGGTGGAACCTAGTATTGCTGTCGTTGGCATTTGTAATTTTGTGTGACCTTGTGATATGTGAGAAGTGGAAAACCTGGCTCTGCATTGGCCACCTCACTAAGCGGGGCCGGTTGGAGGGTGAGTTCTCGAGCCGCTGCCAGAGCGCGTTCATTACCCGACAGTGAGGCATGACCAGGAGTCCAGAGCAGGTGTATGATGTGGCTGTTGTGTGAAGCAACTTTGGATGTGCGTAAGAGAATAGAATGATGTAGTATGTTTTCGCGGGGAAGCACAAGGTGTGTTGGATCGCCAAAGTAACTGCCAAGATCTTGCCCGAGTCGGTGGCAATTATTTAGAGGAATGGAAAAATATGGAAGGAATTATTTAAACCATTAACTAGAGGAGTGCTATGTTTTGCAAGCTTGAAATGCTAGAAGCAAAAAGAAAAAAAAAAGAATGTGGAACTGTCTGAAAGAGCTGATACCGGCAGGTTATAATATCTCTGTTAATTGACCCAAACATTAACTTTGACAGACAGCCAAAGAACAAGAAAATGGGAGTAAGGTAGTGATCATAGAGAGGAAAATTGAGAGCTCGCGGACACCCAGCTGGCCAGGTAAAGACGGGGTGGAAGGAAACACAGCGCCCACTAAAGTGACATTATACTCTTAAATAGACATTTTTAGGTTGTGAACAAGGCTCTCATATGCCAGTTGAAATGTCTTTTTAAGAATATATTTTTACTTTGGTCGCCGCTGTGTTTTCTTTGTCCAGAGAGGGAAATTGCAGCAAAGAAGAAAGCAATTGGAGTATTCACAATATACTAATTAAAAGTGCATGAATAAGGTCTCTCTTGCCCCTCTTTGAATTTTGTCTCTCAGAATCACTGAACAGTCCTTGAATTGTCAAAAAGATATTCTGTAGAAGCCAGATAATATATGCACAGATAAGTCTGCAAGCAACAGTCACGTGCTATTGAAAAATGAAAGAACAGGCTCTGTTCTTGTGTTGAGGTTGGAGAGAAGTGCCCAAAAATATTCCTGCAGCATGCAAATGGGCCTCACGGTTGGGGCTATATCTCCCACCTTTTTCGTCATAGACTGTTCATGAACATCCCTTCGAGCTGTGGGCCACACTCAAGAGACAGGGCCATGTGCATTTCCTGGTGGCCTTTGTCACTATGCTCTGCGTCTGGGTAAGTGCTTCCCAAAGTTCAAGTCGTTGCCTGATGGAAGCGTATTATTGTCGTTAGTAGGAAAGACAAAGGTGTTTTGTTTGTTTTTATTAGCACACAGAAATAATTGTGTAATTCTGATTGCCATGGATTCACTCGTATGCAAGAAGATGAATGACCGAAAGCGAGTGGCACAAGCAATTACTCTTTTATAACAAAAAATATAACAGTACAAAAGTTGACGGACCAACAGACAGAGACAAACGAGCCCCGACTTCCAACTTGTAAGTTGTCTCTGTGTGCTGGTTCGTTGTTTTTTGTGCTGTTATATTGCTATGATCATGAATAACGAACTAGCGCAATTTAACGCCATTGTGAAGTTCATCTCCTACGGCCATATTAAATGTATGTACCACGTTGATGAAGACTTTTGAAGTGTAACTGTTTATTTACGCTTGCTTGTTCCACCTAATGCATATAAGATCTAATAGGTGAGGATCTCATATTATAGGGGCATATTTCCGAAAAGCTAAATTAAATTGCAAAGTGAAAGTGCATTTGCAGTGAACATGCCCTAGGAGCCCCGCCACCGTGGTCTAGTGGCTAAGGTACTCGGCTGCTGACCCGCAGGTCGCGGGATCGAATCCCAGCTGTGGCGTCTGCATTTCCGATAGAGGCAGAAATGTTGTAGGTTTGTGTACTCAGATTTGGGTGCACGTTAAAGAACGAAAGAACCCCAGGTGGTCAAAATTTCCTGATCCCTCCACTACAGCGTCTCTTGTAATCATATGGTGGTTTTGGGACGTTAAACCCCACAAATCAACATGCCCTAGGATGTTTATTAATGGGAAGCCTTTCAACGTTTCAATACTAATTCACTCCAGGTGAGCAGTCTTGTCACTTTATATTTTTTAATTATGGAAATGTGGTAGTTCATTGGGGTAATGATATATGTACTAGTTATTTAGGAGTTGGCCAATGCTGAATAAGCAAAGTGACTACTATAAGCTGAACTCAACTTCTCATATTGTTTTTTTTTTCTTTTACATTAAAAGTACATTATCTTTCACAGTACTCCCAATATTTTTTTGTCATCAACTCTGTCTGCAAAAGTGTCTGCACTAACCAATGGCGTACCAACTCTTTCGCGAGTGGGAGGGCAAACCTATCTCACTCGTCAGCAGAAATATATACATATATATATATATATATATATATATATATATATATATATATATATGTATATATATATATATATATATATATATATATATATTTATATTTATTAGACAGGCATGGTGGTTGTGTGGTCGTAGCGTTGCAAGTAGTCAAGTAGATCCTCTGTGAGCAGTCACAACGTGGTTTATTTCGACGTTTCGGCAGAGTCTGGTTTTCATCAGGATTGAAAGTACAGTTTGTTGGGGCTCAGCATTGTATAAAGCTGAGCACCAACAAACTGTATCCTGATGTGTGACACACACACACACACACACACACACACACACACACACACACACACACACACACACACACACACACACACACACACACACACACACACACACACACACACACACACACACACACACACACACACACACACACACACACACACCACACACACACACACACACACACACACACTCCCACACACACACACCACACACACACACACACACACACACACACACACACACACACCCACACACACACACACACACACACACACACACACACACACACACACACACACACACACACACACACACACCACACACACACACACACACACACACACACCACACACACACACACACCACACACACACACACACACACACACACACACACACACACACACACACACACACACACACACACACACACACACACACACACACACACACACACACACACACACACACACACACACACACACACACACACACACACACACACACACACACACACACACACACACACACACACACACACACACACACACACACACACACACACACACACACACACACACACACACACACACACACAGAGAGAGAGAGAGAGAGAGAGAGAGAGAGAGAGAGAGGAGAGAGAGGGGGGAAAGGAAACTTGGCCATTATGTCATTATGTGAGTTATAACGCTGACGCTGGTGATTTTGCGATGCTAAAAGGCACTAACGAGCAACTTCTCGTGCTTCGCGAGCTGTGGTGATAGCATCATTGGCTGTAGAAAAAAGGTGTCTTCGGCGGTATAGTGGTACAAAACAAACTCGAAGACATAACAAACGCGTCCACTTAAGTTAAGGACAGCGATCAGCACAGCAGCGAACCGAAGCACGAGCCGAGAGAGCCGAGCGTTAGCGATGCTGCTTGCTGCATGCACATCTTCTTCTTCACAATATATATATATATATATATTTTATACACAGAAGTGACACGACGTGGTTTCTTAGATACCACAAAGTTCAATCACACTTTAACAGACTCAGGAATTGTGCCCTTAGCTCAATTTCTGCATCCAATATGCGACACTCATCTTTCTATTATGCTTCTTTCTCTGATTATGACATGGTGGTTAACATCTATAGATACTACAATGGTTTGTGTAGTAAATTTATATGAATGTACCAAGCTTCAACAAGGATATGTCGACGAACGGGGCTATAGGTGCCAAACACTAAAACGTACATTCGGCACATTCTTCTTTATCAATGTACAATAAATATTTAATTACCCCTGCAAAGGTGCATTTTACTTTCGTGTTATAGGCTGATTCCCATGTTGGAGGGATCAACCATGTTTTTTCAACGAATGATTGCTGTTATATTTTTTCGTAGTAAGTATTAAACTTTCTTGGATCTATTCAAGCTTGTGTGTATTATAATTTGCCTTGCTTGCTAATAGTCTGAACACTGTTTCTGCACTGTGCAATTATTAATGATATTGCTATTGTTATATTACTGTTATTAACCTATTATGAACTTCTTAACCCTTTTCTTTAAAAATGTATAATTTGTGGTGTTAGGAGCGTACTACATTGTGTACACTCATTGTATTTGTAATAACATTTCTTAAGGGGCTCCCAGACACGCGCATGAATACGCCAATACTAACGGTGTAAACAAAGCTTTCCTTTGAAAGAATAAAATTTGAGTGATTATAACGTTAAACTATTCCTTGTTACTTTCTTTCGAAATTGTCGTCAGCTGTGTATGATTGGTGTAAACAGTCTTTGTCATATGCGCAGCAGCAGCAGCTTGTTACGCGAAGCAACAAATGGTGTGAAAGTGATCCTCCGCGTAATGATCCTAATGCACAATTACATAAAAAATAAGAGAATAAACTATTTTCGATATGGCATAATGTTTGTCATTGGTTCTTCGACATCAAAAATGTTTTCTCTGCCACAATATCAGCTGCATGTTACATGACGTCAAGAAGCTGTAGAGAATCTCCTTCTAAATCTAATTCAAGTAGGCTAGCTGCCAATCACACTATCAGTGGCTACTTATAGCAGCTGGCGAGATGAATTATGAGTATAATAAAATATTTCCGCATGCAACATAACGGTGTTTAGTAGTTTGTGGACGTATACATCTCTGTGAGCTCATACTTTCTGAGAGAAAGAGGAATTGAGAGATATAAGCAGTGCTGCATGCTTCTGCTTTTTTGATGTCCGAGGTGTATTCTGAGCTGTAAAAGACAATTCAAGTTGAGTGAAAACCCACTAGCCTGACTCTTAACTAAGCCTCCATAGTACTAAAAACCAGTCTTTCACCTTCTCCCTGGTCCGGCTGATCAAGTTGTGGGGCAAGCTTAAAAGCTGTGCTTCATACTGAGCTCGAGTCCTCTGTTTTATTTATGGCCATTTCGCAAGCTGCTGCTATGCCTCCACATTGCCATAAGCAAGGCTGATCATGTTTATCAGAGACTAAAGCAGAAATGAGTTTCGGCGTTTCAGTATGAAAAAACTTAAACATCGAAAACGATTTGTCACACTCATCGGCTCGTAACAGCTTTAACGAAACAGCGGTGTTAATATATCCTTTTTGAAGAGTGAGTGAAACAACTTTATTTGGTCCACAATAGACGCGAGTAAACTCAGCGTCACCTGGCTAGGCCCACTCGGGGACCATCAGGTTAAACCTGACGGCCCTCGCGCGGGCCCTCTGGACGGCCAGGATTTGAGAGGTCTGGTCCTGGGCCTTGATGAGTCGCTTCATTTCCTCTTGGGTGAAAGGGGGACCGGCAGAGGCGCAGCCCCACAGTACATGTTCGAAGTCCGCATAACCACCACACAGGGGGCAGTCCGGGCTTGGAAACCGTTCAGGGTACATTGTGTGCAGTGCCGCAGGGCTCGGGTAAGTGTTAGTTTGTAGCAGTCGGAGAGCAACAGCTTGGGCCCTGCATAGCGAGGAGTGTGGTAGAGGCAGCAGTCTTCTTGACAGATAGTGGTGCTTGCATATCTCGTTGTACGAGCAGAGAGGCTCAGGTCGCCCAGGAGATGACGCGTTACCCGGCACACGGTCAGTCAAACCTCGTGCAGCCGAGTGCGCCTCCTCGTTGGGATTGAGCGAGGCACCCTCAATGGTTCCAAGATGCGCAGGAAACCAGACCAATGAGTGATTTTTGAGGTCTTTGACTTTTTGAATAATCTGTAGGACCTGGGGAGCCACCATGCCCATCTGAAAGGCCTTGATAGCGGCCTTGGAGTCTGAATAAATTGTGTCATGTACACCGTCCGTCAATGCAAGAGCAATGGCAACCTGCTCTGCAACGCTGGAACTAGAAGTGCGGATGGTAGCGCAGCTGATGACTCTGCAATCACAGTCGACGACCACTGAGGAGAAGGCTTCTTCTTGAATGTACGAAGCAACATCGACGAAGCAGGCTCGATCTTTGTCCAAGCGGGCACTGGCGAGCAGAGATTTACCCCTGGCTCGTCTTCGTGCTTCGTTGTAGGTTGGATGCATATTGCGCGGCATCCGCGCAATCTGGATCTTGGATCTTACGTCGCTG